AATCACGTTAATCGGATATCGATAGCTATGTGATCAAAATAGTTTTTTGTCAACCGTTAATTTGTTCACCGTTTAATTTTTTTAATACGAAACTGATTTGATCATATAGCTATCAATATCCGATCAACGTGATTTTTAACAGACATATAGTACTCGACGAATTCTACACATTAAGCGGTTTAAATTATCAAAACGGGACCCGTGGTGAGCCCCCACAGGCCCAACAACACGGTCCAGTCCGATCTCGGACTAGATAGAAGCCATACCCTTAACTTAAAGGTTTCGTTTGGTAATAAATTTTTTTAATATTTTTTTGATTTTTTTGACTAAAATATGAAATATAAAAAATCAGTATATTTTGGATAACTTTTTAATTTTTTATGAAAATATGTGTAAGAAGTATAGAAGAAATAGAATATTTGAGGTATCATTATATTATAGAATAAAAAATCAGTATATTTTGACTTTTTAATGACTTTTTTTGTTAAAATCACCACTTGCCAAATGAGGTATCATTAAAAAAAATTGAAAAGCTAACAATTTATATCAAGAAGTCAAAAATTCTTTTTTTTTTCTATTTTTTACATATCTTTTCATAAAAAATTAAAAAATTATTCTAAATATACTAATTTTTTTACATCATATTTTAATAAAAAAATTAAAAAATTATTAACATAACTTGTTGCAATCTAAGGCCTCGTTTTGAACATGACTTTTTAGCTTAAAAGTTAAAAAGTCACCAAAAAAATCAAAAAATCAACAATTTATATCAAAAATTCTCTTTTCTTTTTATTTTTTTGTACATCTTTCCGTAAAAAATCAAAAATTCATCCCAAACTGGTTAGAGTTTTCCAAAAACACTTTTTAAAAAATTTCACTTTCTTGTTTTCTGTGTTTTTTTTTATTTTTACTGAATTTTTTTAATATTTTAAATAATTTTTTTAATTTGTAGACATACCTAACATAAATATACTTAAAAAGTAAAAAATTATAAAAAAAAACCTTTTAAAAATCCACTAAATACGAAAAATATAAAAAAATACGAGAATTTAATATATTTTTTGTATTTTTATGTATTTATTAATTTAAAAAAATATTTTTTCACAAATTTTTTATTTTTTTAGATACATCTAAGTAAGGTGCATCTAAAAAAGTAACAAAAATGTTTAAAATTTTAAAAATATTCACTAAAAACAAAAAAACACAAAAACCAAAAAACTCAGATAGTGTTTGGTAGAGTTTTATAAATGTGATTTGAGAGTATGAGTTGTATTTTGAGTTTGTGTGTTGCGAAATTATGATTTGAGTGTAGAAAATTTGTTTGGTAAAGAGTTTTGAAAATAGTTTTGAAAAGAGTTTTGATTTGAGTCAGAAATTGTTGATGTGGCATTTGATATGTGATACAAAAATTTACAACTCATAACTAAACATACAACTCAAAATTAAAATTTTAAAAATTTCAGAAAATATTTTTTTTGATTATATAAATCAATTGCAAAAAAAAAAAAAAAAAATTTACTATTATAAAGTCCCACTAGACTTTCCCAGAAAACTCATTTATTATATTCTCATCCGTTTTACCTTATTTGAATAAACTCAAAGAATTTTCCTTAAAAACACAAACTCTTTGAATCGTAGATAAAAACCTTAGGTCTTTTAACCATGTACTACTATTGAACATAGATGATACACATTAATTACACAACTACCTATCCTCGCCATAATCCACACAATCCCAAAACATACACACTTAACAACACACTACACACAATTTATCTATAAAAATTCAATTCATTACAATCTTATTCCACACACACAAGTAAATTCTCCATTACCAATCATTACATTCACATTTACAAATCGCCTTATAATTCTTTTAGAAAAAATCCACCTGCTAACAATCGGCTCCATTACCAAGCCATACCAACACAGTTTGTCGGGCGCTACTCCAGAAGGAATGCTGGAACCTATCTCAAGCACCACGCTTTACCGGTCACAAGCCAGAAGGAATGTAGAACCTCTATCAAGTAGGAATGGCAACGGGGCGGGGTGGGGCCGGGGATCACCCTCCCCGTTCTCGATCCCCGAAACTACAAACTTCCCCGTCCCCGGCCCCGATCCCCGGCGGGGAACCCCTCACCCTCCCCGATCTCGCCCCCAACGGGGATCGGGTTTCCCCGACCACGGAAAATCCCCGTCTCTATTTAGCTTATCATTATCAACAACATCATCGATTATCAACACCAACATCATCGATCATCAATAACATCATTTTCATCAACGGTAACATCATCAAAAAAAAAAAAATAGACAGATCTGACCGGAGGGAGGAGCCGACGGATCTTCTCAGATCTGAAGGTGGCCTGGCGGAGAATGACGGCCGCGAGAGGCGACGGGAGGAGGCCGCGAGAGGCGACGAAGAAGGAGGAGGAAGCGACGGAGAGGCGGCAGTGGCCTGGAGGAGGAGGAGGAGGAGGCGGTGGTGGCCTGGAGGAGGGGGAGGCGACAAGAGGAGCTGACTGCATTGCGTAGCGTCTGTGAGAGAGGAAAGAGAGTGAGAGAAGAGAGACAGATCAGAGAGAAGAGAGAGCAGAGATATATAATAGATATATAATAGATTAGATCAGGGATTTGATATATAATATAATAATAGATATAAGGGGATTTGATATATAATATAATAATAGATATATAATAGATTAGATCGGGGATTGGATTTGATATATAATATAACAATAGATATAAGGGGATTTGATATATAATATAATAATAGATATATAATAGATTAGATCGGGGAGAAACGGGGCGGGGAACGAGGCCGGGGTGAGGGCTGTGAAAGTGATCCCCGTCCCCGGCCCGAATTTGATCGGGGATTCAATTTTAAATACCATCCCCGTCCCGTAGGGGGTATTTTTCGGGGAAAAACCACTTTTATCGGGGACGGGGGATCGGGTCCCCGTCGGGCCGGTTTTAAATTGCCATCCCTATTTAGAAGTAGTTTAAATTAGCATTGTTAGGAGTAGATTAATGGTAGCTTTTTTCAACTCTCACTTCTCTTATTTCCGTTGATGGTTGTATTTTTTTCAATTGTTCGTTCTTTTTAAGTTCTTTTAACTAGTGGCAAGTGACAATTTATTCGAATTAATACATATTTTTTTCTTCTCAAAACCTTTTTTACTTAATTAACTTCAGAAAAGTTCTTAATCTATTTAAGGCATAAAATTTAATCACAAAATCTGATCTTTTTTGTATTTATTAAAATTTGTTTAAGTATGTTGATAAAAAAATTATCAATTGGACTTAAATCAAATTTTTACCAACACAAAATTTAACAAAATTCCTTCTTTCTATCTTTCATGATGAGGCTCATAAATAATAATTATGAGCATTAAATTTAAGTTCATCGGTTTGAATTATAATTGCAAAATTTATCAGGCTCAATTATGTCATTGAGTTCATCACTACTTTGGTGCTCTCACGAATCGCCTTGGGGTTGGAGATCATTAAACTAAAATTTTCAATGAAAAAGCTCACTAAATTTCTGTATAAATCCATACATTTTAAATCTTTAACAATAAAAACCGCACAAATTTTCATATGAAATTTCTTTATAAATCTATACATTATGAATTTTTAACTATAAAAAGAGTACAAATTTCTTTATGGATTTCCTCTGAACAGATAAAAGTGATATATTCTTTTTGTTAAAGTATCAAAATGTTTATATTCATAGATAAATAAAGTAAATTGATATTTATTAATTATTATAAGAGTCTTAGGAAAAGTAACCTTAATAAAAACATAAATAAAAAACTATAAGAAGTTTTGCCAAAAATTCAAAAATGACCTTCTATGGCCTTATTTGAAAATTTGACTATTTAGTAAAATATTTTAATAACTTCAAATTTTTCTATTTGGAAAGAATGTTAGTTTTTTTTTACAGTTAGATATAATATTTGTAAGGAAAAAAAATAAAATAATTATAGATTTGATGTGACATTTCGTCTTATTAACTATTTTAATTTTTTTTTGTGAATTTAAAAAAAAAATTAATTACACTTTTTGCTACATGAACTGTTTCTCAAAAGCAAGCAGTAATGGTTGTGTTTGGTTTGCATTTTGAGATAAATTTTTTAAAAAAAATATTGAGAGTTTAGAATTTTTTTGGTTTGTTGGTTGTATATTTTAAAAATAATTTTAAAATTTGGGATGATTTGATATTTGTTGTAATTGAGTAGATATGTGTATGAAAAAAAAAAGTTATTAAGAAGGAGAGAGAAAACAAAAAAATGTGATTGATTGATGTATAAAAGAGAAAAAAATAATTTTAAAATTTAAACTAAACAAAATTTAAAAAAAAAAAATTCTCAAAAATTATATTTTAAAATACAAACCAAACAAACCCAATATATGTACAGAGAAAACCGAACAAAAGGTGACCCTTTTCTTTCCCGAGAGGCAAAAAGACTCGCGCCGCCATACATATCTGCAGAGCCCATATTAAAAAACTATAAGAAGTTTTGCCAAAAATTCAAAAATGACCTTCTATGGCCTTATTTGAAAATTTGACTATTTAGTAAAATATTTTAATAACTTCAAATTTTTCTATTTGGAAAGAATGTTAGCTTTTTTTTACAGTTAGATGTAATATTTGTAAGGAAAAAAAGTAAAATAATTATAGATTTTATGTGACATTTCGTCTTATTAACTATTTTAATTTTTTTTTGTGAATTTAAAAAAAAAATTAATTACACTTTTTGCTACATGAACTGTTTCTCAAAAGCAAGCAGTAATGGTTGTGTTTGGTTTGCATTTTGAGATAAATTTTTTTAAAAAAATATTGAGAGTTTAGAATTTTTTTGGTTTGTTGGTTGTATATTTTAAAAATAATTTTGAAATTTGGGATGATTTGATATTTGTTGTAATTGAGTAGATATGTGTGGGAAAAAAAAAGTTACTGAGAAAGAGAGAGAAAATAAAAAAAGTGATTGATTGATGTGTAAAAGAAAAAAAAAATAATTTTAAAATTTAAACTAAACAAAATTTTTAAAAAAAATTCTCAAAAATTATATTTTAAAATACAAACCAAACAAACCCAATATATGTACAGAGAAAACCGAACAAAAGGTGACCCTTTTCTTTCCCGAGAGGCAAAAAGACTCGCGCCGCCATACATATCTGCAGAGCCCATATAGCTTCCCATAATAGATTTGCAGTTGGTTGCCGCTTCGTACTTTTGTTGTTGTAATGATAAAATTATTAACCAACCCTTCATAAGTCTTGCACTTGACTTTAAAGGTGAAGAGCTCGACTCCTTTCCCACATCAGGACCTCTACTTTGCCTACAAAAATTGATGATTTAACAAAATCCAAGCGACGGGTGGTGGATGGACAAGAGATGGAGTTGGCCTGTTTATTTTTTCTCTTGGTGTTTTGGGTTAAGCGTCGTTAGGGTCGTCGGTGTTGGTGTCGATGGGGAAGCAAGTGTCTTCGCCACCGGTGTTCCATAAAAAGTGAGCATAATTAGCGGCGTAGTAGGAGTTGGTGGGATCAGCCGAGATAGCCTCCAAGTACGTCTCCTCCGCCGCCCATAGGTCCTTCCTCGCTTGCCACAAGAAGCACGCATACTTGCTCAGCGCCTCCGCGTCCGGCGGCTCCACCTTAACTGCTCGCCTGAAGTACTCTTCAGCTCTGTTTCAAAACAGAAACAAAAACAAATTTTAAATATTTTTTTTAGACACATTTCACTTAGATGTATGTAAAAAAAAACATATTTATGAAAAAATATTTTAAAAAATTAATAAATATATAAAAATATAAAAAATATAATTTTGTTATTAGTGAATTTTTTAAAAAAAATACGAAAATTATACTTTTTAAGCGTATTTATGTTAAGTGTGTCTAAAAAATTTTTTAAAAAAATTTTAAAATATTAAAAAAATCAATAAAAATACAAAAATATAAAAATAAAAAAGTAAAAAGTAAATTTTTTTTTAAAAACTGAAAACAATGTGTGTCACTGTCAACAAGGTAACTTCAAACCATGCTAAACTTTTTGACAACTTGTAATTTGTTTCTTTCTTTTGACAAAAGAGTTCCACCGCTTTCCAATTAGAGAAACTACACCACATATTCCCCTATCAATATCTATCAATCAACCCATCTCATTTTTGCCATCAAACATACAATTTTGGTTTGAAAATTCCATAGCTCCCATTAAAACATGTCAATTGAAAATATCTCAGTAGCGGCATAGAAAATATCAACAAACAGAAAAAAAATTATATAAAATTGTCATAAACTAGTTTGGAGTGTTTTAAATAAGTGTACTTTTTTGTTTTTTTTAATTAAAAAGTTGAAGGAAAAAATATGGGTGTTTGGGTTAACTTTTTGACTTTTTATGAAAAAATATGAATTAAAAAATTGTATAAATTAGTGTGCAGGAAAAAATTAATATTAGGAGTTATGCAGTCGTAATTTTTGAATTTTGACGAATAGTGATAATTTTTTAACTTTTTGAGTAACTTTTTAACTTTTTTTACATTTTCTAAACTTGGCTTAAAATAGTGTGATGATGGTTTTTTTGAAAAATAAAAACTATGTTAATAGGCCTTTATGAAAAATATTATTATACAAATAAAAATTTTATAGAAAATATTTTATCCTCGTGTGCTCTTAGAATATACATTTAAAAATTTTATAAAAAGAGTAAGGTTAGAGATATTAAATTTTTTCTACCAAATAAATAATCAAATATCTCGCGTAACTATGGAGCAACATTCATGTAAGACATTAATTATTTGTTTAGTAACAAATTTAAAACCTATAACATTTTCTATTTTTAAAAATAGTGGGCTTGTGAATATGTTGTCTTCGTCTTTGGAGCCACCATGGCTTCACTTTGATCATTCGAGATTAATTCAACAGTAGTAGTTGTATGAATTTATAATAAATCAAAACTGTCTCAATATTTGAAACACTCAAAAATTTGTATAAAATTCAAGACTTTTCAGTGAAACAGGGAAATCTAAGTGAAAACAATCCAAACAGTGAACTAAACAATTGAATTGAAAAACAAATTTGGGATGGAAATTAAATTCGTACCTGTCAAAATCTTGAGTGACGAGGTACAAGAACTGAGCATAGTTAGCAAGAAGCAAAGGATTATTAGGATCTTGAGCCAAGCCCCTCTGATACAAAAGCTCTGTTCTGAAATAATCTGCATAGTCATCGGCTTCGATCTTCGCCGTCACGGGCGAAACAAACCTCTGCAAAGTTTCATGATCCAAAGCCTCGTCTCTCAACCTCGCTTGCATCTTCGAAGCTTCCTCCACAATCGAATTCCACACTTTCAATTCCTCCCTCGCCGACAATTCTTCCTCTTCCTTAATCTTTGCTGGGTTCCCAATCGAAGACACCCCATCTGGAACCATAGTTCGATGGTAATTCAACGACGCTGACTCATCACCACCGTCTGTGCCACTCGCCACCGGCCGGAATTTTCCTCCGCCGCCATTGTTTCCGCCGATTGAGGCCGTCTTCCCACTGGAAGACGACACCGAAAACGTCTTAATCGAAGAGGAATCGAACTTTTTCTGGTTTTGATTTTGATCTTCGAGCACCGAAACAGACTCCATCTCCGCCGCCGAGGACGGCGGCGGTGTGGCGGCGATGGCGGCGTTGTTGGCCATTGAATAGACGCTGTAATTTGCTAGTAGAATCATGACGTACACCATTAGAGTCGGTGTATGCGAGAAAACTTGCTGAAACAGCCAGACAAACGAGGCGTGCATTTCTTTCTGAACACGAACTAGAATCCCTTGTAGATCTTCGTAATAGAGTGCTTCTCTCATTTGCAGAGTGAAGCTCTGAAGCTCTCGGATTATGAAAACCATGGAAGAAAAGGCCTTTTTGACGGAGCAATAAGCCGACTCCCCTGCTTCTCGAACCCCTTCTTGCCATTGCTTCTTCCTCTTTATCATTCGGAGTGAGAGAGGAAGTTCTACGCTGTTCGCTTTTCGTTCGATACTCGCCGGAATTATCTCATCTCTGCCTAACCAGTCCGGCGGCTCTACCGGATCGAACAGTCTCTGACTTTCTAGAAAGTTGAATTTAGATGAATTTTGATTTACACTGTTATTGTAATCACAAACCATTTCAGATTCTGTGGTTTCGATTGTGTTTTCGTCATTGTCGTCGAGTAATTGGAACCTCATAGATAGTTCTTTCATTTTTTTCGAGAATTCTTCGTCTGAGAATGCGTCTAGGCTGGCACTGCAAGCTCGTCTGATTGTTTTGCATTTTGATTTGGGTTTGTCGCAAGATCTAGACCTAGAGATCTTTGTTCCGAAGAGAGATGATTGGAACACGAGAGCTCCATCGCTGAAACTACGTCGTTTAAGGGAAGGGGAGACTGTGGAAGCTAGGGTTTGAGGAGAGGAAGGTGGGTGAGGAACAGAGGGTTGTGACCAATGCAAACAGGCCGTAGCAACTTTCACACCCATTTTCTCGGCAACCAATCAGGATCAAAAAGCAGAGAAATAAACGAAAACAAGAAAAAAGAAATGGAAGACCCAAAAAAGGGAATTAAAAGCGGATGATTAGCCAAACAGAGTCTGATTAAAAAAATATAATCCACAGCTCGTTGCGACCTTTCGAATCCGATCCAGGAAAAGTCTTCACCTTTCTTCCTTTTACTCCACCCTGCAAAGTACATAAAGCAAATCACATAGGTCAACACATAATCATAATTTTCCTCAGAAAATAAACGAAAGAAATTTTTTTTAAAAAAAATCCCAAAGCTCTCGAACCCATAGCTCTCATCATAGCACCCACTATTTTCCCGCTAGAAAATCGGATCAGAAATCGCAAATTACAGAAAAAATCACGTGGCACGAAAAGCAAAGAAAACAGAGATCCCGATACGGAAACTAGTAGTGGTGGAGGTTGTTGCGTTGTTCCATACCTACTTGTCGTCGACCTTGAACTCCGATGAAGTTCGAGTAAGTCTCCGGCGAACCTAGATTTTTCTGAAAGTGAAGTACGACCGTAGCTTCCCTTATCAAGTAGCTGAGAGTCCCATTTGAGGTTGTTTATATATGCATGGCCTCTTCTTCTGTTTCCCAAAAAATCTCTATAGGAGACGTACAAAAAATCTTTATACGTTTAGAGGTGGATCCCCCACTAGTCCAAAATAGACTAGAGGGCGCTTCTTCGTCCGTAGATTTATCACGTTTCTCGTTTTTGATAATTTAAATTATTTATTTTATAAAATATTTTATAAATTTTATTTATTTAAAAAATTAGATTAATTTAATAATTATATTTTATTTAATTTATCACTTTTTAACAAAAAAATATATAATTTATTTTTAAAAATATAAAATTTTTTAATTAAAAATACGATAAATTAAATAAGTTATAGTTATTGGATCGACCTAATTTTGTGTATGGATGAAATACACAAAATGTCTGACAAAATAAACAATTCAAATTATCAAAACGGGACTTGTGATGAACCCCACAAGTCCAAAGAGAGCCCTCCAATCCAAAATCTAAAAGAAATCCTTGTCCATAATTTTATACATGAGTTATGGAAAATTTTATTATACACACTCACATAACATATGCACCATTATTGAGGCAATTTTTTTTTTAGTTATAATCAATTTTCTTCTTTAATTATGATATTATTTTGAATTTTTTTTTTTTTAGATACATCAAAAATGAGAGCTATCTGATTATGAATTTTTGTGTTTCGTTATATATATATATATATATTTTGGATATGACTCAGAATATATAGAGTTATACTAATTTTTTCTTGAGCTATAATCCTTCCCGTGAATTATGGGTGGCATGTTGGGTGGCGTTTCTGTCTTTCATTTTGGATTCATTTTAAAACTATTTTAATTTATTTATTATTTTGTGTTATTGTATCATATTATTTTAATTATATATTCGATTCGTATCATGTTAACTGAGTATATAAAAGAATTTTATCATTAGCTAAAAATATTAGGTATATAAAGAAATTAAAATTAATTTATATTGAATGAAATTATTCATAAGAACAAGGGTGGGAAAAGAGGGTCTAGGAGGTCACGTGTCCCCTTAGGTCATGTTTGATTCACAACACTAATAGTGAGGTATTAATAATCCTATTAAATTAGTGTGATATTAGTTATCCCACCCCTACCCCATTACTAATAATCCTACAAATTTGTTGGATTAATTATCCATTGGATTAATAATCCTAAACTAAAATGTCAAAACAAACATAGGATGATTGGGCCCACGGATTAATAATCCCAATCCTATGCTTTAATCCTTCCAATCAAACATGCCAAGAGAGATTTTTTTTTTTTTTTTTTTTTTTTGCAAATATAAAGAAAATATTTTAAATAAAAAAATTTATAAAAATATTATTTAGAGTGAAATGTAAATGACATTTTAAAAATTATAAGAACAATAATGGTGATTTTGATTGAAAATAAAGAGACTACGATATTATTATCTATGAAAATTCTAATAAAATAGTGATGTTTATTATTATTGGCATGTAAACGTAATTAATCTCAATAAAAATATAGAATTTATTGAATTGTTAGTTATTCCGGATCTCATTTTGATAATTTAAATTATTTATTTTGTCAAGTACTTTATGAATTTTATTTATACAAAAGATTAAATTGATTTAATAATTGTAACTTACTCAATTTATTACGTTTTTAATCAAAAAAATGCATGATTTATTTTTAAAAACACAAATTTTTTTAGTTAAAAATGTGATAAATTAACTAATTTATTATTATTGGATCGACCTAATTTTGTGTATGAATGAAGTACAAAAAATATCCGACAAAATGAATAATTCGAATTATCAAAACGAGATCCGTGATGAGGTCCACAAACTTAAATAGCGCCCTCCAATCCAAAATCAAAAGGGAATCCTCCTCCATAGTTTTATACATATGAGTTATGGGAAATTTAATTATACACACCCACTTATCATATGCACTATTAGTTATGTCATTTTATTCTTTAGTTATGGTTAATTTTCTTCTTTAATTATGATATTATTTTGAGATATTTGTATGAACCCATATTTGAATTATTCTTAAAAGAAAATAAATAAATTAATTAATTAATTAATTTTATTCAAAATCTACCTAAAATATATAATAGTGTAAAAATTAATTTTAAATTAACCCAATTCAATCTTATTAAGAATAATAATTTATTGATATTCAATATTTATTGTTATAAATTATTTTAACAACATACAAAAACAAAAAAAAAAAAAAAAAAAAAAAAAAAAAAAAAAAAAGAGAATAATCAGATTCTTGGTGGCAGGAAATGCCACCTGCTAGCTTGCATGTAAGCATGTAATTTTCATCCCATCATGGTTCTTGGATTAAGTAGATTTGTGGCAGGGAATAACACACACGGAGAGAGAGAGAGAGAGAAGCTCTGCATGATTATTATATAAACCCAAGAAGGGCTGAGTATACTCTCAGATACATACAAAAAGAAGGCATAAGTATATACATGCATGCCTTTGAACAGGCGAGGAGAGACTAGGGCAAAAAAAAAAATCTAGTAGAAGGAGAAGGAGAAAGGAAGGTTAAGGAAGTAAAATTTTTCTATTATTTCATCACTCATTTAAATCCTACTATTAAGTAAGAAAAGCCCTCTCAATCCTCTCATTTCTTTTTATTAGTGAAATTTTCAGATTATGTCCTTGTGATTAAAATGACTATTCATAAATAGAAATTTTATATATATGTGTAGGAATTTTGTGATGTGTATATCAAGTGTTTGAAGATGTTGATAGTCTTAAAATCATCCTATTATTGTAAAGAAATAAGCTTGCATGTGTAGTTTATACATTTAAAGAGAAAATTGAAAATAATCTGTCTATTTTGAATCTGTCAGAATGTTTGTCCGAATTTTTAGATAATTTTATACTCAAAATTCCGAGATGATTTCTTCTACAAAGTTGTTGATAATGGTGCCTAGTTCATCCAGGAATTTTGGCAACAATTTTTGAGCTTTCTACGAATTTATGCGAATTTTTAACTAAATCTGAAACTGTGTTAAAATAATCTGTTTTGAATCTACCAGAATGTTTGCCCGAATTTTTAGACAATTTTATACTCAAAATTTCGAGATGATTTCTTCTACAAAGTTGTTTATAATAATGTCTAGTTCATCTAGGAATTTTGAAAACAATTTTTAAGCTTTCTACGAATTTATACAAAGTTTTAACTAAATCTGGAATTGTGAGACAAATTTTACTATGTATTTGAAAATTTATTTAAAATTATATACTAAGCCAAATCTGGTAAGTTTTAACTAAAAGATAAAATTTGAGAAGTCTAGTTTCATGATAAATTTTTAGATTATGGATTTGATCTATAAATTGAAGCATGGAATTAATGTAAGGAAATGTGACAAATCTGTGTCATAAACATTGCTGGAAATTTTACAGGATTATTTACATCTTATTTTTTTGAAATTCTTTCTGAAAAGTGACCCAAACATCCCTATTGATTATTTTGTTCAATTGCAAGAATTTTAGGATTGTGTAAATAATTTATTTAAAATTTTAATATCTAAGTTATTATGTTCATACCATGATTTAAATTAATTGTCTGTTAAATTTTGGACATTGAATTATTATTGTGTGACATGTATAATGTTTTATGCTGGGAGTTTTTTTTTTTTTTGTTGGTATAACATTATTGGTGATTGAGAATTGAATAATTTGTGTTTAATATATAAAGTTACTGATAAATGATTAATACCGTGTATTCAGGGTGAGCCTTGGTTTTTAATAATTTTTAAGTAAATTGTGTCACGAAACCTTAAGATGGCACAGGGATTATTTGAACCCTTATCGGCATTTGGCTTTGGAATAAGGGTGGATGTGCGGGTGGCACGCAGGGAAGGTACGTACCCCTGGCAGACCGTTCCTTTGGGGTAGACCACAAATGTCACGGCTTGGGCATATAACTCCGGGCGTCGGCATCTTTGGTAGTTCTTGAATATTTGACCAATGGGGGGTTTCCAAATTAACCGTGGCCATGACTTAGTGGTTGGTAAGTTAAACATCTTTAGCGAGATTTCAAAGGTCACCTAAGTTATTAAAATTATTTGAATTATTTAATTGGTTGTAATTTATGTTTACAATTATATTATTATCTCATGTTTATAATCTAGTTATTTTCTGTCCAAAAAAATGGTAGGTTGGTTATGTTTTCTTACTGTGTTGCAAAACTCATGGCATATATTTTGTTGCCCTAGCATTTCATGCCAGATTATGTCGAGGAAGGGACTGAGTCTGAAATTGGAGCTGCTGCTAATATCGAACCTTGGCTAACTTAGAGTCAAGAATTTATCAAAATAAAATCCTGTTATTTCTTGTATTAGTACTTAACTATGTTGTGACGTTGTGTGGGAACTTGTAGTTTTATTTTGTTGTTGAACTTTGACTATGTAAGAATTTAAAATTTCCTAATTAGTAGTTAAAATTTTATCTACCAAGTTATTGTTATTTAAATTTTATGACGTTTCAAAAAAAAAATTTTGGGGCATCACAATTTAATTATGACTTTTTTTTTGTGTTTCATTATATTATATTATCTTTTTTGTTATGACTTAGAAAGTATAGAGTTATACCATTTTTTCTATCATTATAAGGTATGAAAAATCAAAAAATCCCGGAGATATTTATTTGTGATTATATATTTATTTTAATCAGTAAATAGCTATCCTAATCAAACAATCAAAGACAGGTCGACACAACAATTTTATGTGAAAAATCACAATTGGAGCACCTCCAATTGTGAAAAAAAAATCACGGGCAAAAATCACAAAACAATCCACTAAGAAAACACAATTATGACTTTTTTTTTTGTGTTTCATTATATTATATTATCTTTTTTGTTATGACTTAGAAAGTATAGAGTTATACCATTTTTTCTATCATTATAAGGTATGAAAAATCAAAAAATCCCGGAGATATTTATTTGTGATTATATATTTATTTTAATCAGTAAATAGCTATCCTAATCAAACAATCAAAGACAGGTCGACACAACAATTTTATGTGAAAAATCACA